TATCTAATTCCATGTTATGTCAATCAGAAATCAAATGGCTGGTAAGCATTTGGTAAAAGCTGAATCTTGATGGGTTCTTTTGAACCATGACAGTTGCAGGGGAAATATCAAATTACATTCTCCTATAGGTTGCACTTCTGGTATGATAAAAGAGCAACGTAAACATAAGCTGCTTATTGCTATGCAGTTAGTAAATGCATAGGAGCCTCCGTTTCAGAATATAGTGAAAGAATAAAAGTAGCTATATTGTTTGTCATATTGATTGCAGATCCTTTTCTTACGATGATGTTTTTAATCTTTTTATAAGCTGCTTAGAATTGCTTGAAACTGTTTAAAAAGTGGAACAAATAAGATAAAATAAAAAGAGTGGGGATTTTGTATAGTTATTTTGTATCTTGGCTTAATGTATACACTGCCAAGAATATTTGGAGTGAAATAATTAACTTATAAATAAGTATTGTAATTATTGTGAACATTTTAGTAGAAGATCTGTCCCCTCTTTGAATTTTGTTTTACATCTCACTGCACACACACACACACCCCAAGTCTGGAAGGTTCATGCTTGCAGAGTTAAATTTTTGTCTATTCTGAAAGTGACTAGTTTAACAGCATTGCACATATTTTAACAATTTTCTTTTAGATTCCATGTTTCTAAAATATGGTAAGATACAAGTAAATACCATATGAATGATTCCATGAATTTGTAGACTAAATCTACAGGGAATAAGACCAAATGAATGAATGTGGTGTGAGGACTAGATTTAGTACGATAAGAAACAAACAGCCTCAGATCAGAATGGTTTACTACAGTAACAAGGGACAGGCATCACCTGCCCTTCCCATCCAAAAGTAAGAAGTCTCAGTTTCTTAGGTACCTCAGGTAGGAAAAAAGGTTCAAGAACTGAACTATTCTTTCATTAATAAAGCTTATATACCACTTTGGTAATTGATGGATTTCCTCTTAAGTGATTGTTTTCAATTCTTGCAATAAACACCACTTCTCAATGCATTGATCCTTGAATCACTGGCTGAGAGATTTTTAGTTTTTAGAATTGGCTAGGCCTCAGATATGTATAATTAAAGCATACAGATTTGCCAATTCCAAAATTTTCTGTTGGGCTAGATGTTGAATGATGATTGCCAACATCATCATTCAAGTTCAGATGGAGAAAGATGTTGATAATGATACAGAGAAAAAGATATTTAAAATTAAAAGTTGAAATGTAACAATAGAAATTAAGATTAGAACAGAACAAACTCTTAGAAATATAAGTAAAATAAGGTTTAAAAGTGATACAAATAAAAAAATCACATTCATTTAATCAGTAAGCATCAAGTATATTTTTTTGTATACTTATATAATGCATTTTTGTCATAAGAACCAAATGTGTTAGACCTGATTGCTACTATCACATAGAAAGGACCAACGATGCATGATTTTCAAGTGAAGTGGTAGAAGAGTTTTGTGCTAATCCGTTACTGATTATGTATGTATGTATGTATTTGTTTTCTGTATTATGTATTATGTATGTATGTATGTATATACGTACTTACTTACTTACTTACTTACTTACTTACTTACTTACTTATCTTGTATGCTTCCTTTCTCACTGAGGTGAGATAATTCTGATCCCAGTGATTTCAGTGGAATTTGCTGTTACTATATTTGTACTCCTTTTTTGTTATTGACAGAAGTCCTCTTTATGGGCAAATAGCAGCTAACATTTGTTGCATTCTTATCAAACTATTTCTGTACTTCATCTTCTGTGTTGTTGTCAAAAGTCACAACATATTTTCAGTTCTGCTTATTTTTTTTCTTTTTCTTTTTTCTGTATATTTACTGAGAAAATTTATCCCTTGAGGGACTATGTTTGACTATTTAGAAACTACGAACATGATACCTAAAGATATTGTTGCTGTTTCACAGTCCTGGTTGCATGAGCAGTTACATTTCCCTGTAGTGTAGTTAACAACAACTTGAAACAAGTTATATTTACATAACTCAGGAAAAGACCAAAGCAGAATCTACTGTAGATCTTGTACATTACTGTATACAGATTCTTCCCTTTCCTCCAGATAAAGCTGTTTATTTAGTTATGTTTATTTGATTGACTCCCCCCCTTTTTTTGCTGTGCAAATCAGATAAGACCAGATTTCTTAGAAATATCTTTTGGTCAGGAAGACTTGCAGTAATATTGCATTGGGTACCCATTTTTGAATTCAGTACTGCACATTTTTTACTTTCATTATTTTTATTTTCCAAATTTTATTTTTGTTATTCAGGAAGGGATTGGGAGAGTTCATTTTAATTTAGGTGAGATGAAATCTTTCAGAAATCTTTTTAAAAGAAAGCTATGCTAAACTTTAGAAAGCCTTGATGCACACATTTCTTTTAAAAAGAAGCAGGGAATTATAATGTTGATTTTCAGAATTTTGGTTGTCAATCCAAGTCCTGGAAGGTACAAAAAATGGCTTAGCTGGAAATCATTTGCAGAAATTAATATCCTTCCAAGGATCATGGACTTCTATATAGATAATCCAGAAGTTATATAAATTGGTAGTGAAATTTCTGTTGCCAAGCATAACACAACTAAAAAAAAAACTTTAAAAAAATCTGAGCCTATAAGAAATAGCAAGGCAGATTTGGAAACAGGGTTAAAATGACCCACTAGCTGAATTTATAGTTAGCTAGTAACTTACAGCTAGTAGTGTTTGGATTCCTCACAATCATCCAAATTCTTTAGAATAATTATCAGTTTCTACTATTGTTCTGGGCTGCTTCTTATCAACCTGTCTTCTATTCTCTCCTACTATTTGTTTTATCACCAATAAATATTTATTATTATTTATGATCTCAGACCAACAAACACAACTACAAAATCATTTAAAATACAAGAATTTCCCATGATGGCAGGGAATTTTGGAAATAGAACACTATAAAACTTAAAGTTGCCAAGATTGGACTTCCTGGCCTAGACTGATATTCACACGTGTATGTATGTATGTATGTATGTGTATATACGTGTATATACATCAGAGTAAAATGCCGGTGTTTTGGGAGCTTGCTTATAAAGCCAGCCATTTTTGCATTCTGCTCATGGAGCGAGTTACCGGTCTGCCTGCCCCAATTGGCCGTATTGTTTCTAGTTATCCCACATCAGTCCGTGTGTTCTTAAACTCAGGGGTCATTTCCTCCCTTATGGTTGCTCTCCTTGTCTGCTTGGTTCGTGTCCGAGTGCCTGTTGCTGAAATTCAGATTTTTTTTTTTAAAAAAAAACATGAACTGGCTATAAATGACTTAGTGGGCAAATAATGTCTGTTTAAACCAGAAATACACTATGTAATGGCTAATACATAAAACAGCTAATGCCTTCAAAAGACCTTTAGCAGACTCAGTTTTCTCCAGTTAAATGCCCAGCCTACCACTTTTAGAGATACCAGTTGAAAAACACTATTACAGCAGTAAAGCAGATTAAAAAGGCAGAATTGTTCTAGCTTCTCTTTTTATAGGATCAGACTTCTACTTCCTAAGTGCTGCTTCACTAGATAGACTAGACAAGGAAAAAAACCCTGCAGGAAGATTAAAACTACATTTATTCAGATTGACTATAATAATAGAATCTTCTATTGCACTAAACATCCTCCTCCTTCCTATTCTCCAGTAATTCAAGGAGATATCTGCCTGATCTGCTTCTGAATATTATTTTGTTTCTCAGGGCTTTAAAACGTTTCAGCTCCTTTTGTCCGAGAAACAGTTCTTGCATATTTCATCAGGGTCACCTTCCTCATTCTAGGTAAAAGAATGACAGTTCTAGTATTGCTGGAGGACATGCCATTGATGGGGTGACCGAAAGGAGATAGCCCTACTTGGAGTATCCCATCTTGTTTGCATTGATAAAAGAACATTGAAATCAGTGAATGAGGGTCTGCTTTTTTGCTTGACTTTCTGTAATTTCAGGTTACAAACTGATCAAGAATATCTAACTCATCACAGTCATTTAAACTTCAACTTAAAGGGCTGCCTTTTAACACTGCATCAGTTATTTGGCAAAATATATAATATCCACAATTATATCTCGGATGATTATTTATTTTATTTATTTATTTGTAAAATTTACCTCAAGGTAACTCTGAGTGGCTTACAATCATAAAAGAGAAAAACTACATTAAAACATAAATAAGTTAGTACGAAAAGTCAAACACTGCAGCACAATTAAAAGATGGGAAGGCTGGGAGCTGGGATGTGGGATCTGTTGTTAATTGATCAACAACCTCCACTGTGATGTTTCCTTATTGGAACCCCAAGCTAACTAGAGTGGCAGAGCTAGGACTTTAGGTCCTTAAGAAAAGTTAGGAGAGTTGGAGTCCACCTCATTCGGGGAAGTAAGATATTCCATTGGACAATGGCAGAGAAGGCCCGTCTCCTGGACCCCACCAGCCAGAATAACTGGGCCCACAACATGCTTCTGCTGAACTGGCATGCATTACAAAGACCTGTTAGAATACTCCATGTTGCAGCTAGGCTAATGTTGGAGGATGGGAAGTGATATGGATTCCATCTCTCTAATCTGAAGTTCAATCTGACTTTTGAAAAGTTGTAAATGCTTGTGGGTGCCACATTTTGGTGACTGGGATAATGAAGAGGGTATACCATCTGCTCACTGTATAACAGTCTCTTTTCTCTAGCTATCTGTGTTGATCTCTGGTGTACCATTGGATTTCCCTGGACTCCTTGTTTTGAGATATTTCAGGTTTCATATTGAGGATATGTTTGAAAAGAATCCAAAAATAGCACTTGTGTAAAAATTGGGGATAGGTTGCTGGCAGCTGCAAATATATAAAGAAATTTGTGGATAGCTTGCTAAGCTGCAAACTACAGGAATCATGATTAAATCAAAACAGTAGGAAGTTTTGATACTGATCTCTAAAATCCTAGTCAATATAGAGCCTAACTATCTGCTGGCGTACTTTTCCCATAATAAACCTGCCTGTCTCCTCAGATCAACTAGAGAAATTCTTTTGAAAAAAAGGAAGATCTGGAGGTTTGTCGATCCAGTACATGGCAAATGGCTCTTACTGATGCCCTCCATCAGTAGATACATTCTCTAAGAAATTACTCTTGTCCCCACTACCAAGAGGTAAAAACATTTTATTTCTGTCAATTTAATTGTCAATTTATTTTATTTTAATGTTTGCTTTGCCATATTTCAATTATATTATTTTAAATAAACATATATATTTGTATTGTTGAAAGCTTCTATTATTGCTAGAGGGTAGATTGGTGTAGAAATCAATCAGTCAGTGCTTTCCCTCTTCCCGTTCAATGTTTTTTTGAGGAAACATCTGTGAAGAAAGTATCAGTGGACAAAATTGTAGAGTTCATGAGTGCTGAATTAATTTGGAATAAACCCTTGGCAAATTAATAGGAAACCAAATAAAAGTTTCCAATACTCACTTTATACAAAACAACTACACCTACTATGTAAATCATTTTGAATGTGGACCTATTTATACCCATTGCTCTATATAGTATATTTTTAGCCGAAACAAGCAATTTTGTGATGAGATTTTCGGTATAAAGTAATTATGTGGCTACAGATTGCCCTTTGGCTGTTTCTGAATGAGGGTCACATCACATGGAAACCAAAACAAATATCATGTTGAATGTTCTGTTCAGTGTTTAATATCTGAACAGGCTCAACTATTGAACCAGCTTTGTGCCAAAAGTTCCCCTTCAATGTTCCCAACTTTAATTTTATTATGAAAAAAGTATTCTCCTTTCTCATTTTCAAGTTACTTCAAAGGTATTTATTTTTAGAATGTCTTTGAGATGTAGTACTGATAGCAGAGGATGCTGTTGCATTTATTACAGGGTTCTTCATCACTCTGTAGCCTGCCTGTTTTCAAAAGGAATACGTTTGCTCACTTCACTTGGAACTTGTGACTCTATAAAAGAGAAGCTTTAGTTGGTTGAGGAGAAAAGTTAGGACATTCACAGTCATTCTGCAGTGATTTCCTAAAGAAGGTAAGTTACAGAATTCCATAGCAGCCATCTTTTCCCATCAAATTTATCATTTGCCAAGATACTTGATCTGTAGGATGTTTCTAGGATGTTTTTAATTTTTTGCAGCATAAACAAGAATTCAGGCATCTTAACGATTATTTGATTTGTTATAATATACAGTTTTGTGTAGTATGTAAGGTTTGGAAAAGTCCTTATTTGATTGAATGCTACTTCCAGGCCCTATTCACCCTAATATGGTATTTCTGTAAATGTAAGTCTACATACTTGAAACAAGCAAAGCAAATTTTAATAGCAAGAATAGTTTTTATAATATTTATTTTAGTACCAATGAAGCATGAATAAAGCTATATTTAATTTAATAATAATAATAATAATAGTAAAGTTGGAAGGGATCTTGGAGGTCATCTAGTCCAACCCCTTGCTCAGGCAGGAAATCCTATACCATTTCGGTCAATGGCTGTCCAGTCTCTTCTTAAAACCTTCTAGTATTGGAGCATTAACCACTTCTGGAGGCAGGTTGTTCCATTGGTTAATTGTTCTGTCAGGAAGTTTCTCCTTAGTTCTAGGTTGCTTCTCTCCTTGATAAGTTTCCATCTGTTGCTTCTTGTCCTGCCTTCAGGCGCTTTGGAAAATAGCTTGACTCCCTCTTCTTTGTGGCAGCCCCTGAGATATTGGAACACTGCTATCATGTCCCCCCTCCCATGTCCTTCTCTTCATTAAACTAGACATACCCAATTCCAGCAGCTGTTCCTTATATGCTTTAGCCTCCAGTCCCCTAATCATCTTTGTTGCTCTTCTCTGAACTCTTTCTAAAGTCTCAATATCTTTTTTTACATTTTTTAAAGTTCTATTAACTTTCTACCTCTATTCTTTTCCCCCTACCCTGCATTAATTCCTTTCATAATGTTGATATACTGTAGTAAGGTGTTTTCAGGTTTCATTTTAAAATAAAATTAACATTTATTTCAGTGTAGAGTCCTAAAGTTGTTTGCCCTCAGTTTAGCCATGCTCCAATATTGCGAGAAAATATGGATTTTAAAAGAAAACACCGTTTTTGTTAAATGGGAAGTATACAATGAGAAAAAGGCTGAAAGGAGCTTTGTGCTGCAGCACTTGTCTGAAATGCTTTAAAGTAATACAAAAATGCTTTATAGAGGTAAATCACATCATATATTTTCTTTCAGTGAAGAAAATCCAGTTCTGTCAATGACACAAATACCTTTTACAGTAACTTTCTCTGTATAAGTCTAATAGTGATTGGGATTTTATACATTTATTAATGGCCAGAGCACATTAGAAAAGACATTACAAAATTAAGTTTGGTTTTCTATTCCTTTATCATGATTGTCAGTACGGAAATTACTGTTTTCACAACAACAAAATATTGAGATGATATTCTAACTGAGCTGTTTACAATAGTCACTATAACGACTCTAAGTCATTTAACTTATTTTTTTAATAATAACAAATACATAATATTATGCTTGCTTATATTGAACACCATTCCAATTTTTATGCATGTTCCTTCACTTTTAAAATGTGGAACTGTTCAATGTACCTTTTATATCTAATTGCTGTAGATAATTTGGAACCTTGAACAAAGTTGTCCCTAACTTGAGCTCACATGTTTTATTTGTCTTTATCCCACCTCTTCTCATGATTCAATCTATTTACAACATTTCTAATACAAACCTTTCATTAACCATAAGAAGATATCTTTTCTTACCCTATAATTTCTAGGTTTGATGCCACATATGAACGAATATATGAACAACAGTATCATGTATCCTAATATCATAATATTGAATTTGCTGTCAAAAGGGATACTTGAAGCTTCTGTCATATCTTGATTCAGCGATACTCTAATAGAGAGTATCCAGTACTTTCTGGTTTGGAATGCATTTAGCATATGAATTAAAATCAATTTAGGTAATTAGAGTGGTCAGATGAAAACACTGTAAGATGACCATACTATAATAAGATTGAATCGCCTTTGTTTTGTTTTTCTCAGCTCTTTATGTATGATATGCAGATTAGATGTACTGCTATTCAGCATCTAGCGAAGTTTACCATGATGAACAAAATTATCATAGAAATCAGTGTTACTATCATATTATATTAGCAAAGTATATTTTATTAGCATTTGTTATGATATTCTAATCTGAATAATTTTCAACTAAAAATGGTTTACATGGTTTTGTGATATAGGCTAGATGTTATCAAATCATTTATCTGATCATTTAGTAACATTTAGTAATACTATAAAAGGCCATAGTTTAAAGTTAAAGAATTATTGCTTTATTTTGTGTATAGTCACATGTATAATTCATGAAAGAAAATTGTTTGATTAAACGAACTATAAAGCTCTACTTCTACTTCAACCACAACGTTATATTTAAGTAAACAAGGTTCTAGATTTTTTAAAATCTAGCCGTATGCATTTAGACTTCTATACCTCAGATTTTCCGTACTAAGGCCTGGACAGAGAGGTAGAGGAGCTGCATATTGTTAGGGATGGGTCAAAGGTGCAGGATATGGATGCCCTAATGATGTGACATGTTTTCTTATTAAGCAATGTGTAATGGAGAATAAATAATGTTAACTCAAGAAAGTGCTCTTGCAATAATTTGAGATAGCAATATGAAATCACATAGAATTAAACATATTCTTGGAATATTTTTAGATGGGAATTTGAAACCAGACAGAATGAAACATGAGGTATCTTCCACCTTGTTTCAGTGAAGAGTAACAATTCATGATTACTAGCCATCTTGATTCAATAGATAATATCTTTCAGCTCCAAATATGATAATTAGACAGTTCATTAGGTATCATCAAACTAATTTCTCTGCAAACTGAGCTCAGTTCAATATTTTCTTGTTTATTCAGTTCACATTTGTCTCTACCAACTAAAAACTCACCATAATATAGCTGCAGATTGACCTCTGAATTAGCCCATGAAATTACTTCTTTTATTATTGATTTATTAAGAAAATTTATATAACTGCCCAACTCACTTATGCTGACTTTGTGTGGCTTACAGAAATAAACCCCAATATAAAACTTGATAAACCACCAATCCCCTGGTGACTATAATCAAACAGACCACTTTATGAATTCCATGGTGTCCTGGAATACCAGGCTTCAGGGCCTTTAAAGTAATGTCAAAGTGGGAGCCAATCTTATTTCCAGAAGGATGATACTCTACAGGAGGGAAACATCACGGAGAAGGCCCTTATTTTTGGTCCCACAAGAACTTAAAAGAAGGGACCCATAACATACGCTGCCTTTGAACTCTGCTGGGTTGGGTAGATATAACTGGGAAAAGATGGACCTTCATATAACTTGGCCGCAGGTACCTGCCAGTGTTTTTCATTCTCCATGACACAGTGGCAGATATTCAAATGTTTTGAAAGAATGGAAGATGTTGACTCATACTGGGACTATAAAAATGAAATTGAAGATTACATACAGTTCATGGACATGTGTTGCTCAACTATATTCTCTAAAGATAATGATGAGCAAATATGGAGATAGAAAAACATTCATCTGTGGAAAACAATTTAATAAGCCACAGCTCAAATTGCTGTATATTTATTCCTGAAGTAAGTATTTTCTTATTTCTTAGCAAGTGAGAATTGGACTTCATTACACAGCACCAATTAAGGTATAATTCATAAACATATCAACCATATTAATCAACTTGTAGTTGAGATGGGTGGTAAATGAATTTAATAAATAGATAAATAAAAAAATAAAATCATGATAGCAGTGAGTTTCTAGGCTCTCAGACTATGTAAGGGAGAATTTTATAGACTGCAACATCCCCAATAGTCTTCATCTTTGTTTTTTCTTGATGAAATATTACCCCAACAAATTAATAATAAATAATGAATTAAATGGAATATGAGTTTTCATATCTTTTTAAAAATATATATTTTCCTTATTGTATTTTTGTCTTTTATTTTCCTCATTTAGTTATATGAACTACATTCAATAGCTTCAAAGAAATAAACCTTTGACACTCACCAATAGTCCAATATTCAGGAAAAAAATAGGCTATATGTAATCTTATTTACAAACAATAAAAGCATGTTGCTTAAAGATTTGGCCACTGCCTCATTGATTATTTTCTGAAACTATTTCTTAATTTTTTAAAAAAACAGATAATGGCATAGTTTGTATTAAAAGACATCTAGTTAGAGATAATGAAGTGCTATTCTTTCACCTCTGAATTCTTGGAAAATTCCTTTCACCTGCTCTATATGTTTCAGGTGTATCTATGTTTAATTAGTGGATATGTTACTATGGCATTTAATGTGCCCAATTTTTCAGTCCTTGGATTTCAGCTTAATTTTCTGTGCCGCAGTTATTTTAAACTTGACTGGCTTCTGCCATGAGCTAGTCACTTTGCCAAACTGATTGGCCTATTGATTGCATTATAAACGTCAATCCTTTTGCAGACAAAACAAAGTTGATGTGCCATTGTTGATGCTCTTAACTCAACCAACAAGATCTCTGACATTCCAACTATTCCAGCTTGATACATAATGAAGATAATGTACAAGAGATAAGTTCCAAAATAGCTGCGATTCTTATCTTAAAAAGCTGATTAATATGCTGTTTTTATTAACATAGGCATAGGATTCTAAATAGCATTCCAAACAAGTGCCTGTCCCCCCCAGCTTCTGATGTCTGAGGCACCCATCTTTTATTATTCAGTTGTATCTCAGGCTTTGATGATTCAGTGGTCCTTCTGAACTTTCTTGTGATTTCTCTCTGCCAATTTCTTTGTTACGCAGCAGCACATCATGGAATTCTTCTTGCATCATTTTAATTTCCTTTCAAAGGTAACCTTAAGTTACTTTTAAGTTTAGATGGTTTCTTTCTATCCATCTCCTTAATAAAAGTAGTCCTCAATTAATGACCACTCATTCAGTGACAGCTCAAAGTTTCTGTGGCACCAAACCATGGAATTATGACTCATAATTGAAGTTTCA